TAGATTCCAACTTTTTTCTTCAAATTTCCAACTTTTCTGTCACATCGAACTTTCCTCCACACAAACTTTCAACTTTTCCGTACCATTGTTCCAATTTCTTCAAACTTTTAATTTTAGCGTGGAACTAAACACAGCCTAAACACAACCTCGTTGTTGTAGGTCAAGATAAATATTTTCTTTAACTCACACAATACGAGATTAAACTATTGCCGAATAAAGCAAGGCTGTCACTCCACCTATAACAAATGGGGTCTAGATGGAATGACGGCCTCGTTTGTTATAGGTTAAGATAAAAGATTTTTTGATGCACATAATACGAGATAAGCTATGGGTGAATAATAAATTAAATACTAATTATTACAAACTTAAAAATGAATTTATTTATATTTTAGAGCATCATTTACAAAAAGTTTTGGTGCAAGACACATTATTTAATAGTTTGAAAATCGTGCTAACAATAATTAAGGTAAATTATGCATCTTATCATAAACAAACAGTCATAGTGTACACTTCTCCTCCATAAAATAAACCAATCTAGGTGGAAATGCAATCTATTATATTACAAGAAATTTGGATAGAATGATGGATCCCATCTTCACCTAGCTTAAGTTTTTTTTGGACAAAGTGAGTAAAAGATTACAACTACTAGTACTATTACTACGCAGGAGTATAAAATTTACTCCCTCCGTTTCAATATGTACCACCTCCGTCCTACAATAATTATCATTTGAGGTTGTTTAGTTAGTTTTATACTGTTCATATCAAACGATTTACCATCCTACTTATTTGAAATTTTTTATGATTAGTATTTTTATTGTTATTAGATGATAAAATGTGAATAGTACTTTATGTGCAATTAATTTTTTAATTTTTAAAATAAGACGGACGGTCAAACGTTTGACATGGATACCCACAGCTGTACTTATTTTGGGACGAAGATAGTAAAATCTAAATTTTAACAAAAATGATTATGATAAATGATATGGGGTTGGGAGTGAGATGATAGTTGAGAGTAGAATAAAGAAAACTTTGAATTCGAGGTGATTGATGTGATAAAAATTACTCTAAAATAACATGCTTTTGGGATAAAATTTAAATCCTAAAATCCCAAAATAAATCAACTTCTAAAGTTCAAATTTGTCTTAAAATAAACCAACTCCAACTTCAAACTTCTTGCCTACGAAGTTCCACCAATCTGCAAAACGAGAAATTTTATTACTTCAATACCCCTCACCTACCCATCATTCAATACAACATCTATCTATTATATTATTAAAACAGCTTTGAAAGAAGACACCACGTTCGCTGTGAGCGTTAGAAATTCCCATATTAATCGAAGAAAAAGAAAAAGATATTAATCGTTAGATTGTAGAAGATCTCTATTTTGATGGTGGAGATTAATACATAATATAATCTTATTTATAGAAAGTAGAAAAAAGATTTATAGATACAGTCCGTATGTAGAGTCATATCAAGAAAAGTAATTAATCAGATCGAGTACATTACATACAGAAGTTTGAAGAGAAATCGTAAACGGAGAAGATAAAACAAATTAGAAGTCCCCTTCCCTCCCGCTTTATGTATTTGTAGCATTGGTCGAGAAAGCTACCGATAGTGCTAAGTCATCCCTTCACCGTTGACGTTGTGGTGCCTGGCACTGGCAGCATGGACAATTGGACGACAATTCTCAAGGCATAACAGCACATGATGTGGCTGGCGCTCGAAAATTACAAAGCTAAAGTGCTAGCAGCAATCCAATTGAAAATAGCACCGTTCGTTGTTCCTCCTAACATTCTGGGTAGGGTATATATCTACGGTTTGGTGTATTATTTTTTAAAAAAAAATCCACTCTTTGCGTATACGTTTGGAAAAGAAATAATATTAGCTCACCAAAATCATTTGAGTAATTTTGTATGAGCGCAATCGCGCGGGTTTAATCCAAGAAAAAGAAAAGAAGAGCCAAATCAAAATACGATTTAAAAATAACTGAAATTCAAAATAAAAAATAAGAGTCCATGTAATAACCCAACACGAGATTAATTAAAATTCAGAATAAAAATAAAATAAAATCCGAAATTAAGAAAAATAGAATAAGAGTTCAAGTAGAAATACAATTTAAAAATAACTAAAATTTGAAATTAAAGTAAGCAATATTGAAAGAAGAGTTTATATAAAAACCCAATACAAGATTAACTAATTTATAATAAAAATAAATAAAATAAAATCCAAAATTAGAAAAATAAAAAAGAGAGTTCACGTAGGAATACAATTTTGAAACAACTGAAATTTGAAATAAAAAAATAATGAATATTAAAAATAATAGTCCATATAGAATATTAATTAAAATTTGAAACAAAAAATAAACTAAATCCTGAAATTAGAAAAAGAAAAATAATATTTCAATTAGGAATACATTTTATAAATAAATAAAATTTCATCATAAAAAATAAAGGCTATTGAAAAATAGAATCCCAATGATGATTAAGAGGAGAAATGACGAGCCCGTTAAACAACATAGTTATGGCGGTTGGCGGGACTTAAAGAAAGTAAAAAAAAAAAGCCAATGATAAACATGTTCGGTTTTAAAAAATCTCAATGATAATAAGGATGGGAGGCAGCGGTAGAGCCGTAGAGGACTGTAGTGACGAAGCTGCTGACGGTTTGGTGGGACTCTTAGAAAGTAAAAAAGAACACACACAATAATTATGTTCGGTTTTTAAAATCCCAATAACAATAAAGAGATGAGGCAGCGAACGGGTGGTAAATGAGTACATTGACGACGTTTGACCGGACAATGAACTCTAAAATCTACAAGGTCTAATTTTTAAAGTTGTAAAGAGAATGAATAGAAGTAGTGGTAGATCGAGTAAGCAAATAAAGGGGTGACAAAGGAGTGAGGTGTAGCGATTGACATGACTTTTAAAAACTATAAAATTAGAAACATAATAATGATATTTTTAAATAAAATCATATGTAAAAAATAGATAATTTTATAGGGTGCTAGCCGTGCAATTGCGCGGGCACCCAACTAATTCACATTAATTAAGGGTATTGTGCTATTTTGTTTTTTCCTTGAAAACTCCTTGGGAAGCTAGGGTTTGAGTTATTTAGGGAGAGTATTAGTAACTTAGGCCTAGCTTAGTTACCAATTACTCCCTCCGTCCTATAAAAAAAATCTAATTCTAATAATGGGCCTAAACACACTTTTAAAAAACATAACGTATAATCTTTGAACACATTCATATCCTTAAGATGATACTCATACGTACATGCGCTCTCAGATTCTTTCGTGGACCACCGCGGCACGGGTCTCTGGCCATTTTGACGCAAAGCCCTAGTTTTGTGCCTTGGGGTGCAATCTACGAGGGTGAGGACAGTGACGATCCCGTCCATCTATCCGTCCAGTTACTCTACTGTACCTGTAGGAGTACAGTACGTACTTGTGCCTAGAGGCACATACTCCTATACTACTTTCTGCCATGCATAGCCTAGCTGGCTTTCTCTCTGTCTCTCTACCACACTCATCATCTGCAGGATCAGGCTGGCCCTGGCCATTGAGCAGCAGGCAGCAGCATAGCAGCAGCGCCTGGATCGTTTATTACTCGAGGGGAAGGACCAGACTAGTGGTAGACGGTAGTAGGCCCCCGGTTCAGAATTCATCGCATCATCATCTAGAGTGTGTTTAGTTTCAACCAAAGTTTAAAATTTAATTAAAATTAGAGACGATGTGACTGAAAAATTACTATATATATAAAAGATTTGATGTGATGGAAAGTTGAAAGTTTTAAAAAAAACTTTGAAACTAAACATACCCCTAATAACTGCAGCTTGCAGTTCTTGCATGTAGCTGGTGGCCTAAGGGTGTGTTTGAGCAGAAGGGGATTAAGGAGATTGGGAGTATACACAAAACGAGGTAAGCCATTAGCTCATGATTAATTGAGTATTAACTATTTTAAATTTTAAAAATGGATTAATATGATTTTTTAAATCAACTTTCATATAGAATTTTATTTTAAAAAAAATACACCGTTTAATAGTTTGAAAAATGTGCGCTTGGAAGACGGGACACAATCTCCTCTGTCCCCCAGAACGAACAGAGCCTAACTCCTCGTCCCCTGCGTTGCAAGCGGGGAGGAGGCTCCAAACCGGTCGGCACGGTGGACGTTAGCGCCACCTCGCATCGCCGTGCCTGATGTTGCCATCGTGTTGGGAAACTTCAAACTTGCACTTGGTTCGTACAGTACGTACTACCTCTTTCCATAAGAGCAAGTTTAGGGGCTGTTTGGGAGAGAGGGACTATCTCTCTCCCACCAAAACTTTAATCCCTATCAAAAGGGACTAAACTCTCCCGAACACCCCCTTAATACTACAAGTCAACTATAACCTAAAAAAATAGGAAAAATATATATAAACATGGAGTAACTTTTTCTAACTAAGGGTCTCAACTTTTCACTTATATTTATACTTATCAGCCAAAATTTAAATTTTCAACCATAAATTTGGAGTTGAATTTAAGGTTTTTTTCATTGAAGTTTAATTTTCAGCATTTGCTTTTAGATCGTTAAGAACACATATATAAAAGTTTTATTCACAAATTACTTTTCATTTGCGAATATACCGTTTTGCTTATTTCGCGAATAAGAGAAACGATGGTTACGTAAATTCTTAGTACTAACACTGACATGTCATGCTATGAATGCATCTAAATTTTTTATAACTTCCATCTACCAAATTAAACGGTTGAGATAATTATTAGTACTAGTACAAATTTATAACTTTCATCTACCAAATCAAATCTATGCTGCTAGAGGACCTAATTTAACCCGGGATGCAAGTTGGGAGTCATGATTTCTGGTATTGCGGTTCAGGGCGTGATTTAAACTCGACGTCAAGAAGAGGAATCTAAAGTGAACCTATTCCAATTGCCAACAAACAGGCCCATTAAAGAAATATGCAAGGCCCATTTTTACAATCCTACAGCCCATTATCGCAAGCCAATCTCAGCCGTCCAACACTCCGACGCGGCTCACCACACTCTCACACCCCTTCCCTCCCGCCGCCGCCGCCGTCGCCGGAGCGCCGCCGCATGGCACGGTGGTCCTCCCCGAAGGACCCGGCGCTGGAGGCCGCGCTCCGCCGCAACCGCCGCTGGATCGTGAACAACCAGATCAAGCGCCTCCTCCTCCGCTTCCCGTCCCGCACCGCCCCCGTCCGCCTCCTCCAGTCCCGCTTCAAGACGCTCGACCTCCTCGGCCGAGCCGCCAACTGGCTCCGCAAGTACCCTTCCTGCTTCGACCTCTTCCACGGCGGCGCCGGCGGCGATGGCGATGGCGGGGAGGAGGCCTGCTTCGGGTTCACCAAGCGGATGGCGGTGCTGGTCGACGCCGAGGAGGCGGCCGTCGCGGCGTCCGAGCCGGCGATGGCCGACCGCCTCGCGCGGGTGCTCATGCTCGCCCGCGGCCGCCGCCTCCAGGTGTCCAAGCTCGCCGCGCTGCGGGGCCCGCTCGGCCTCCCCGACGACTACCTCCTCCGCCTCCTCCCCGCCCGCACCGACCTCTTCCGCCTCGCCAACCCTTACCCGCACCGCCGCAACGCCGCCGAGCTGGAGCTTCTCCGGTGGGTCCCTTCCCTCGCCGTCTCCTCCGTCGAGGCGGCGGCCGCCTCCGCCGCCGACTCCTCCGCCCCGCGGTTCACCTGCTCGCTGCCGCCCTCCTGGGCCAAGTCTCATGCCAAGATGGAGGAATTCAATTCCACGCCGTACATCTCGCCGTACTCGGAGAGATGGGCGGCGATAGGCACGGACGCCGACGCCGAGAAGCGAGCGGTGGCGGTGGTGCACGAGCTCCTCTCGCTCACATTGTGGAAAAAGATGTCGGTTCTGAAGCTGGAGCATTTCAGGAGGGAGTTCGGGTTGCCGGAGGACACGGCGAGGATGCTGCATCGGCATCCGTGCCTCTTCTACGTCTCAAACAGGTACAAGATACACACGGTGGTGCTCCGGGAGGGTTACGAGGGGTCGGAGCTTAGGGAGAAGGATCCGGTGGTAGCGGCGAAGGATAGGCTCGGGGAGCTGATGCAGGAGGGGCTGCATGAGTATAATCAGCGGCGGCGTTCGGATAATTTGGAGAAGAAGAGGAGGAGAGGAGAGATTGAGATAAAGGAGGAAGAGGAGGAGGACGATGAGGAAGCAGCGCGGTTGGATAGTGCTGAGAAGAGGGAGGAGAGGAGGAAGTTTTACAAGGTGCTGTTTAATGATGATAACCGCTGATAAGTTTGTGCAGAGTTTTGTTTGTGACTCTATTCATCTCCTTGGTTGCAAGATATGCTTATTGAATTGATTCATTTGAAGAGTATTCAGCACCTCTGTGTTTCACAATCGATCAAAGCGATTACTGGTGGATGTGATGGGGCCTGGGGGTTGCATACTTACATGTCTACAGAGGCATTAGGCATCTGTCTGCAAGGGAAGATTGACCTATTGAGTTCATGACCTGCAAATGTTTAAGGATATTTGGTTGAATAACTGCTTGGATGCCACCAGATAGTTTGTATTTTGTCAGATTATAACCATCAAACCTTTATGCGGATACTTCTAGCATAATGACTACATGGAATTCTAGTGTGAAAGGACTGCTGCAAAGGCTTGATAAAAGAAATTAGTGATGTAATGTATATGATCAAAAGAAAATCTATGAGTTCTTCAGGTGAGATGCTGATGTAGAGTTGGTGTTTTGTCACCATGGACAAAGGAATTCATGACCCATGAACTGTTGAGAAGTTTCAATTGCAGACCTCAACGTAAGCACATCAAGGTTGTTGATCTTTTCAACCTTTTATGGTGTCTGTTACGTATAGCAGACATCTTCCGATTGAGAATTGGAACAGCACAGAGGGTGGACTAAGGTCAGTTTCTCTTGCTTGTACCTCTTTCACCTTGAATTGTTCTGTTTATTAGCATGACAGTTTTTAAACTGTCATGCTGTGTCGTTCAATATTCTCAAAGCAACATTTTGATCATTTATTTGGATACTTTGCCATTCGTAAGGTTTTATTTGCATATGCTAGTGTACCAGCGCATGATCAGTCGTGTCCATAGATTGACCGCAATGCAATTTACAACCCGTGATGCCTGTTAATCTTGGAACATAAATGGAACTCGAGAATAGGATGCTGTTTCGGTACAACATTTTTAGTAAAATTTGTGAGTCCTAAGCGAACTAGTTGACATTTGGTTACAGAATATCCATGTTAACCACCCAAAATAAATGAAATTAGAATATACCCAGTTTGATATTTTTTTGTGTTAGTACATATTTATCAGTAGCTAATATTAATCATATCCCTTTGTGATATTTAGCGTTCATAATGGACATATGCTCAAGCAAAGCTTGAAATACATGGAGTAATAGATATGTAAAGGAAATTTTACAGTTTGAGAACCAAATGAGTAGTGAAGGTCATGAATGCGCCTTTATTTTCCTTGTTGAATGGCATGGCAACTGTGGGAAATGAGGATTGCCACAAAGCCATTGAAAAGAGAGTGCTAATCTTTGCAAACATAAAATTCTTTATTTTCCTTGTTGCAGAACTTGGAAAACATTGATAAATGAAGACTAATAGATAGCCATTGAAGAAAAAGTGCCAATCATTGCAGAAAGCAAATGCTGGAGCTATACATGTCCTAAAAGCACATTCTTTGCGCCTCCACCAATGCGCCGCCCACCAGCCGAAACCAGTGTTGCCACCTGCCTACGTCGCCGCACCACTCCTTCACCTGGTACTGATGCACAAGCCTCGCCTCCGCTGTCCTAGCAGCTACGGGATGTCAGTAGCTCAGGTGGCATGGCAAGGGGAAGAGGCAGTGAGGGTTTCGGGTGGGAGGGGAAAGGATAATAATTTACATAATTACTCACTCTGTCCTATAATATAAGGGATTTTTGTGGACATATCCTAGTATTAAGAATCTGAACAAGCTCTCTGTCCAGATTCGTAGTACTAAAATGTGTCACATCCCACCAAAATCTCTTATATTATGGGACGGATGGAGTACATGTGAGCACTTTTTTATGAGTGTTGAAGTCATATGCCTAGATGACCAACATAGTCAGTTTCTTCGTTCTGCTAGCTCTTAGCTTCATGGTAGCTTCGCCCTAACAAGTGGGAGATTCTACCCAATACAGACATAAAGTGAAAATGGGTCTTTCGATAGAAGACAAAATGGGTCTTTCTGTAGAGGACACCAACCATGTGTGATGTGTCCATGTGCGCGCCGAGAGAATTTGCTCATGCTCGAGACCCTCGGATCCCATAACTTACCAACAATTTAATCATCTGTGAGCTTTGCTGCGAGGAAGTAACATGGATGCCAACAGAGACTCGCGGTGCCATGAGGTGCGACGCCATACTACGTACAGACTGTGTGTGCTGCGGAGATTATATTACTAGGCCAGTAGCAGTGGACCCCCAAAAAACCAAAATTCCGATACATTGAGATTATGAACACCTTCTTATATATACACCTGAATTAACTCCACCGGTGTTTCACACCCAATTCTCACATAAATATAGATTCTTAGTTTTCTCCTAGTGCCGATCGATGGCGCTTCTTAATAATCTCTGCAATTTTCTTGTCAAGACGCAGTACTACAACGGCAGGTGCTTGATTCCCGCCATCTCTATCCTCCTACTCGTCGCTGTCATCGCCGTCTCCGACACATACTTCCCTTTCCCGGTGGTTATGCCGTGAACACTGTCCGCCTGGCTGTCCTACTCTTCCTTCTCCACCTCCTCCGGTGGCCGGAAGGCTGACGGCGAGGCCTGCGACATATTTAGAGGCGAATGGGTGCCAGACCCTGATGCACCCTACTACACCAACGACACCTGCTCGTTCATCCACGAGCACTATGACTGTATGAAGTACGGCAAGCTGGACCTTGGCTTCGTGCAGTGGCGGTGGCGTCCCGACGGTTGTGATCTCCCCCGTCTCGACCCGTTGCGCTTCCTCTCTGCCATGAGGGGCAAGACCTTGGCCTTCATTGGGGATTCCCTTGCCAAGAACCACATGAACTCCCTCATCTGTCTCCTGACCAGGGTAAAAAGTAAAAAACGTGCCGGATTTGCTACAGTACTAGCTTCGATCTGAATCATTGATCGCTTGATCGGACGGTCAGAAATGGGCCAGCAGCAAAGGGTGTGACGTTTTATTGGCCGGCCTGCAGGTTGCCAAGCCAACGACGAGCTGGCCGAGCAGCGAGCACACGGTGTACCACTACGGCGGCGGCTACAACTTCACCGTCCTCAACTTCTGGGCGCCGTTCCTGGTCCGGAGCGAGCTCGTCGACGCCGACGGGCCGGCGCACACGGGCCTGTGGAACCTCTACCTCGACGAGCCCGCCGCCGTGTGGGCGCCGCACGTCCCGGCGTTCGACTACGCCGTCGTGTCGGCGTCGAGCTGGTTCTACCGGCCGTCGATGCTGTACGAGGCCGGCCGGCTCGTCGGGTGCCACCACTGCCTCCTCCCCAACGTCACCGACCTCACGCTGCGGTACGCGCTCCGCATGGCCACCCGCGCCGCGCTCCGCGCCGTGGTGAGCAGCGACGGCGGCGGCGTCACCGCCGTGCTGCGGACCGTGTCGCCGTCGCAGTACGAGGGCGGGGAGTGGAACAAGGACGGCAACTGCGTCCGGACGCGGCCGTACCGGCGTGGCGAGAAGACGCTGCAGGGCTTCGAGCTCGACTTCCACACGCTGCAGGTTAATTTCTTGATTTTTCTCCATTGATCTAGTGATCAATTATCTTGTTCTTTCTAGTAAACGTGTGTTCTGAGCTTCGTAGGTGGAGGAGTTCGAGGCGGCGAAGAGGGCGGCGAGCGGCGGCGGGGTGAGGATGATGCTGATGGACACGACGGAGGCGATGATACGGCGGGCGGACGCGCACCCGAGCAGGTACAGGGGATGGACGCGTCGTAAGGAATGGATGAAAGAGTACTTCACCATCTTCAATGACTGCGTGCACTGGTGTGTTCCCGGCGCCATTGACGCCTGGAACGACATGCTATCACACATGTTGCTCACTGTCAGCGTCACCAGATGGACTCAACACAACTAAGGAAAATGAAAAGGAAAAGTGGAAGAACTCGAACAACTCAGGAAGAACAGAGATGTGTTTAGGCAATCTTTTACTAGGATAATCTTGCTCCAACCCAACAGGGTTGAGCCGCCGCCGCCATTCGCCACCAGATTGCCAAAAGTCCCTTACAATTTAGAAACCTCAGTTCTTATACTCTCTCTCGCTACCAACTCCCTTCCTTCCCCTCTCACAAGACAGATGCCAGCTCATGCCAGCGATACAGGTTACATGGCCCATTCCGGCCCAACATATTTACGATTAGGCCTAATGACTCTGGCCGGCCTCAAGTCTTCTTCTCCTCCTTCCTGCTCACCATCCGGCACAGGCTTCATCTTCAGCTTGGCGCTTGCACTCGGCTCCTCCTCGCCTGACGCCTTGACAATCCCTTCCCCTTGGAAAGTGGCTTGCCCCCAAGCCAAAGCTTCAGGAAAACGCGCCCGGAGATCCTCAAGGTCCTCCCAGGTGGCATCTTCAACTGCAGTATCAGACCACTGTATTAAAACCTGGGAAACGGTGGTGTTACCTTTCTTAATCAGCCGGTTATCCAGGAGCATGATAGGATACTGGAAAGCATCATCAGAAGAAGGCAGAGTGGAGTGCAATGCTCCTTGGAAACCCTTGGCTGCCTTAAGCTGGGACACATGGAACACAGGGTGGATAGAACTAGTAGTGGGAAGTTGGAGCTTGTATGCCACAGAGCCAAACTTCTGAATAACTTGGAAAGGGCCAAAATATCTGAATGCAAGCTTATGATTAGCCCTAGCTGCGACAGAAGACTGAACATAGGGCTGTAACTTAATATAAACCCAGTCACCCAATTCAAAAGATCTGAAACTGCGTTTCTTGTCAGCCATATTTTTCATGTGTTGCTGGGCTCGGTTAAGGTGCTGCTGAATCAATGAATGCATCAGTCTACGCTCCTTGAGCCAAACTTGTAGTTCAGGAATAGCACAATCCTCTGAATGAATTCCAAAATACCTGGGTGGGTGGCCATATAGAACTTCAAAGGGAGATGTATTCAGTGCTGAGTGGAATGCAGTATTATACCAGAATTCAGCTAAATGAAGCCACACTGCCCACTTAGAAGGAGTTGCATGTGTAAAACATCTGAGATAAATCTCCAGGCACTGATTAACCCTCTCAGTCTGGCCATCCGACTGAGGGTGATAAGCAGTGCTCAGATGCAGTTGTGTTCCTGATCTAGTAAACAGCTGCTCCCACAATTGGCTTGTAAAGATCTTATCTCTGTCTGAGATTATAGTCTGGGGAAGACCATGTAGTTTATAAATGTTCAGCATAAAAGTTTTTGCCACATCTATTGCTGTGAAAGGGTGGGATAAGGGCAAGAAATGGCCATATTTTGAAAATTTATCCACCACCACCAGTATACAATTGTAAGATGAAGATCTTGGCAACCCTTCAATAAAATCTAGTGTCACCACTTGCCACGACCCTTCTGGCACAGGTAAGGGCTGCAGTAACCCAGGGTATTTTGCCCTGTCTGGTTTAGCTTGCAGACAGATTTGGCAGGTTTGAACAAATTGTTTAGTCTGTTGCTTCATTCCAGGCCATGCAAAAAGTTTCTTCAATTTGCTATAAGTAACCGGGAATCCTGAGTGCCCTCCAATAGGACTGGCATGGAATGCTGCAAGTAACGCATTTTGCATAGTGCTGTTCTGACCAATCCAGATTCGTCCCTTGTACTTTATAATTCCTGACTGCAAGGTGTACCCAGGCTTTGCATCTGGTTTAAGAGCTAGAGCAGTGAGCAAATCTAATGAAAATTGATCAGTCTCATAACCCTTAGCAACATCCAACAACCAGGTTGGAGTACAACTGGAAACCAAGTTTAACTCAGATTCATCTTGGAATTTCCTGGAAAGTGCATCAGCAGCTGCATTAGTACTCCCTTTTCTGTAACATATCTTATATGACAATCCAAGCAGTTTGGTAAAAGCTTTGTGTTGCCATGGAGTATGTAACCTTTGATCTGAAAGATGCATAAGGCTGTTGTGGTCAGTAAGAATAGTGAACTCCCCAATCTGCAAATAAGATCTCCAGTGTTCTACTGCCATCAATATTGCTAAGCATTCCTTCTCATAAGTTGAAAGTCCTTTGGTACGAGGACCCAAAGCCTTGCTAATAAAAGCAATTGGGTGTCCCCCTTGTGACAGTACAGCTCCAATGCCTGAATCACTTGCATCTGTTTCTACTGTAAACGGCTGATTGAAATCAGGAAGGGCTAACACTGGAGCTGTTACCAGTGCTTGTTTAAGTGTCTGGAATGCCTTGTCAGTCTCGGCAGACCATTTGTAGGGAACCCCCTTCCTTAATAGTTGAGTAAGTGGTTTACTGATAATGCCAAACCCCTTAACAAACTTTCTGTAATAGCCAGCCAATCCAAGGAACCCTCTGAGCTTTTTAGGAGTAGTAGGAATGGCCCAATCCACCACCTCCTGAACCTTACTGGGATCAGTTGATACTCCTGCTCCACTAATTATATGACCCAAGTAGGTTAATTGCTGTTGAGCAAATGAGCATTTGGACAATTTAACTTGCCATTGGTGTCTTTGCAACAGGGATAGTACTTGTTTGATGTGATCCAAATGGGACTCAAGATCAGGACTATAGATTAATATATCATCAAAGAACACTAGAGCAAACTTCCTGAGCACAGATTGCAATGTGGCATTCATTGCTCCTTGAAATGTAGCAGGAGCCCCAGTGAGACCAAAGGACATTACCTTATACTCATAGTGTCCAGTGTGGGTTTGGAATGCTGTTTTATACTCTTCACCTGCCTTCATCCTGATTTGGTGATAACCAGCTCTCAAGTCAAGCTTGGAGAACCATTTTGCTCCTGATAACTCATCCAATAGTTCATCAATGACTGGCATTGGGTATGTGCTCTTGACTGTAATGGCATTTAGTTGTCGGTAGTCAATCACTAACCTCCAAGTTCCATCCTTCTTTCGTACTAGCAAGGCTGGCGAAGAGAAGGCACTCTGACTGTGCTGTATTACCCCTGACTGTAGCATTTCGGCCACTTGGGCTTCAATCTCATCCTTCAATGCAGGGTTGTATCTATAAGGCCTCAGATTCACTGGCTTAGCATCAGGAATTAGAGGAATGCTGTGGTCACAGGCTCTTTTGGGAGGTAAGCCCTTTGGTTCTTCAAAGACAGATGAAAATTCCTGAATGATTTGCTGTACTGATGCCGGAATTGGATCAGTGGTAGTCTGTAAAACTGAAGCTAATTGCACTAAGCAAAGTATTGAGCCACATTTAGCCATTCCTTCCAACTGGTCAGAGGTAATAGGACAACAGGTTGTTGTATGTGGAGTAATGCCAAATAATCTCACAATTTTACCAGATAGTTCAACATCCATCCATTTGTTAACCCAGTCTACTTGCATGGGGCTGAATCTTTCTAACCAATCCATACCCAAAATCACATCATAACTTCCCAATTGCAATAGTTTGAAAGTGTTTTTAAAATTGTGTCCTTGCATCCACCAGCTGCAATCAACGATTTCATGTGTACAACTCATGGTTCCCCCATCTGCAACCTTAACAGTGACCGGCTTAGGCAAAGGAGAGATTCCTGGCAACTTCTTTCCCACACCTAGATCAATAAAAGAATGTGAACTTCCTGAATCTATTAGCATAAGCAGTTCAGCTCCCTGCACCCATCCCCTTAACCTGACTGATCTATTGGATTCAGTTCCCCATAAGGCTTGCTGAGAAATAGCCATTAGCATACTAGGGTCCCCTTCATCTGTCCCTGTTGTGTCACTGACTGGTTCAGGCTCATGCTAGTGTAATGCTTCAATCAATTCCTGCACAATATGTAATTGAACAGAAGTTGCACATTTATGATCTCTGCCCCACCTTTCCCCACAAACAAAACAGAGTCCCTTGGATCTACGATAAGCTTTCAATGAAGCCAATCTGTCATCCTTGGCCTTGGATGCATCGATTGCCCTTTTATCTTCTGTCATAACCACAGTAGGAGTCCTAGGACTATGATTCACTGGACTGAATTGATTAGTTCTAGGAACCTGCCTGATGCTAGAAGAAGATTCAGTTCTTTTGCTGCTCACAGTCTTGATACCCTCCAATATTTCCTCTTGTAACAAAGCTATAGAACAAGCTGAGTCTAAATCTTGGGGCCTTTGCAACATTACTGCTCCCCTGATCTCATCCCTTAACCCTTCAATGAACTTTTGGACAAAGTATACAGGAGTTAAGGCACTGTCATAAGCCATAAGTTGGTGCATTATGCTGTCAAATTTTTCCACATATTCTGAGACTGAACTGGATTGTTGTGCATGAAACCACTGACGGATTAGAGCTTCCTGTCTATCACGGGTAAATCTAGCACACACCAATTCACAGAGAGTCTGCCAGGTAATCCCCACAATTTGTTGCCTAATTGACTGCAACCAGAACGCTGCATTGCCCCCAAAATTGAGCGTAGCTACCTTAACCCAGTGTATAGGATGAATACCATATATGTCAAAATACTGCTCACAATTGCTCTTCCACATCTGGGGATTCTCTCCCTCAAATCTAGGGCAGGACATAGGGGGCAGATTTGTGCTCAAATCAACATACTCAGTGGAAGAATTCGGGGAAGTTACAGCATGGTCACCATCAGAATTAGCAGGGGAAAAGAGATTCGGGTCGCGCTTACCAGCAAGCCACTGTGTACCATCGCTGGTCTGAGCAGTCTTGGATAGAGTGTGCTCTATGTGCTCCACCTTGACGCTGAGATCTCCCACCGCGCTTCCCAACTCTTCAACCTTCTTCTCTACCACCGGCAATCTAGTCTCGATCGTCTTCCTCAGCTCCGCGAAATCTCCACGAACACGTTCTTCTGCTTCCACCCTCTTCTTCTCATTCTCCGCTATGGTCTTCAAGAGCAGATCCAGTTTGTTGTCTTGAGCCATGGTTCCTCAAGCTTCCTTCAACACTAGGATATTCTGCTCAGATCTCTCTCACCCACGCTCCGAACTCGATTAACCAGGAGAAGGCAAGTTGCCTTTTCGCGGGATTCAATTCCGAAGAATAGATCCCAATCCTTCCCTGGAATTTTACAACCAAGCCAAGAGAATTTTGGGGCGAAAGGGCTCTGATACCAGAAATTGTCAGCGTCACCAGATGGACTCAACACAACTAAGGAAAATGAAAAGGAAAAGTGGAAGAACTCGAACAACTCAGGAAGAACAGAGATGTGTTTAGGCAATCTTTTACTAGGATAATCTTGCTCCAACCCAACAGGGTTGAGCCGCCGCCGCCATTCGCCACCAGATTGCCAAAAGTCCCTTACAATTTAGAAACCTCAGTTCTTATACTCTCTCTCGCTACCAACTCCCTTCCTTCCCCTCTCACAAGACAGATGCCAGCTCATGCCAGCGATACAGGTTACATGGCCCATTCCGGCCCAACATATTTACGATTAGGCCTAATGACTCTGGCCGGCCTCAAGTCTTCTTCTCCTCCTTCCTGCTCACCATCCGGCACAGGCTTCATCTTCAGCTTGGCGCTTGCACTCGGCTCCTCCTCGCCTGACGCCTTGACACTCACATCGCAAAGCTAATTAGGTTATTGATCAAACGAATGTATCAGCCAAAAAAATAGAGAAAAACATTCACTCCTGAATTCACGCTAGAATTTCAAAATCACCGTCCATGATCCATGTGAATTTCTAGCACGTTGCACAAGCTGAATTCAAAACAATTTGGTCCTGTTTGCTGCATATGCAAGGGTTATTCTGATTTCATCTGTATGACTGTATGGGGCTTCTTTTAGATAGTGAAAAGAATTCCGGCATTTGCTTTAAAGATGCTATAGCCACTTATTACATAATTCACAGCTTATAAAAACCAAGAAATGACTAGACAATAACTAATGATACCAACACAAGACATTTATTCAAGTCTGTTTGTAAATCTTCATTCGAAGTTGGCAAATATCTACATGATCGTTGTCTCTAGGTTCCGGCACACAGTATGTACTGTCCTCATTACACCTTTATATTTGTGCTCAGAACTGAAGCCAGTATGTTACCTGAATAGTATCTGCATATAAGATTTCATTGGGGATTTGTCAAAGACCATATCATTTATGCATACAAGATACACACAGTGGTGCTCGGGAGGGTTATGATGGGTTAGAGCTGAGGGAGAAGGATCCCGAGGTAGTGGCGAAGGATAGGCTCGGGGAGCTGATGCAGATGGGGCTGCATGAGTATAATCAGCGGCGGCATGCAGAGAATTTGGAGGAGAAAAGGAGAAAGGAGGAGAGGTGAGATTGAGATAAAGGAGGAGGACGACGATGAGGAAGCAGCGCGGTTGGATAGTGCTAAGAATAGGGAAGAGGGAAGAGAGAAGTTTTACAAGGTGTTGTTTAGTGATGAATTAGGGATGGAAATTTCGGTTCACAATTTTGGAAATTTGAACCGAAATTTCGGGAATTTCGTCCCCCATCCGGCAAGCAATTATTTTAAGTGAAATTTTCAGTTTTTTTTTTCAAATATTTGTGAATTTGATCATAATTTCTTCAAATTTAGTAAATATGTGCTAAAATTTCGTTTGAAATATCCGAAATTTCGGAATTTCATTGCCCACCAAAATTACCTTACTTTTTGAAAGGGAAAACCCTAGTGATGATAACCGCTGATAAGTTTGTGTGGAGTTTTGTTTGTGATCCATTTCATCTTATTGAATTTATTCATTTGAAGAGTATTCAACACTTTTGCACTTCATAATCAATCAAATTGATTACTGATGGATGTGATGGGAGTTGCATTGCTACAAAGGCATTAGGCATCTGTCTGCATGGGAAGATGGTCCTATTGAGTTCATGACCTGCAAATGTTCAAGGATATTTGATTCAATAACTGCTTGGATGCCACCAGATAGTTTGGTATTGGCAGATTATAACCATCAAACCTTTATGCGGATACTTCTAGCATAATGACTACATGAAATTCTAGTGTGAAAGGATTGCTGCAAAGACTTGACAAAAGAAATTAGTGATGTAATGCATATGATCAAAATAAATTCTATGAGTTCTACAGGTGAGATGCTGATGCAGAGTTGGGGTTTAGTCACCATGGCATGGAGAAAGGAATTCAGAACCCATATGAACTGTTGAGAAGATGCAATTGCAGGTCTCAAAGTAAGCACATCAAGACTGTTGATCTTTCAACCTTTTGTGGTGTTTGTTATGTTTAGCAGACATCTTCCGATTGAGAATTGGAACATCACAGAGGGTGGACTAAAGTCAGAGATTAACTACAAAGCAATTTACAATGCAACCTGTGGTGCCCAATTCACAATCACAGAATATGTGTTGCCTGCTGATCTTGGAACATAAATGGAACTCCAAATAGGATGTGTTTCGGTACAACTAGTAAGGTTTATGAATCTTCAAGCGAAGTATTTGACATTTGGTTGGGGAAAATCTATGTTAATCCCCCAAAATAAATGAAATGAAATCTTTTAATTCTGATATCCAGTTTATTTTGTATTTTATGTATACATATTTAGTAGTAGCTAGTACTAATCGCATCCCCTGACGATAATGGACGCATGCTAAAGCAAAGCTCGAAATTCATGGAGTAATGAAATGTATATGAAATTTAACAGTCTGAGAACCAAATATCTAGCAAAGGTCATGAATGTGCCTTTTTTTTCCCTTGTTGAATGGCATGGCAACTTTGGGAATTTTGGGAAATGATGATAGAAAGCCACTGAAAAGAAAGTGCCAATCTTCACTAACATAAAATTCTTTATTTTCCTTTTTTGTAGAACTTGGGAAACATTGGTAAATGAATATTAATAGAAAGCAATTGAAGAAAAAGTGCTCATAGTTGCACAAAGCAAATGTTGGAGCTATACATGTCCTAAAATCACATTCTTTGCTTTCGTGGTGGTTTCATGCCTTGTACACACCCAACCATCTTGTTGCTACCTTCCCATCCTGTAAAAATATAATGATCAAGATCATGATTAGTCATGAACATCTGTCTTTGTGAACATCCACTTCTTTTTTCTTCCCTGTTTTTGTGTTCTTTCAGTAAGAATTGGGAGGGAGCAAGAAGACCTTTGGACATGTTGAAGCCGCGTTTTTCGAGCTCCTTGTATTCTTGGCATAGCGCACAACTATCGCAGAAGAAGTGGACGCAGCAGTCCAAGCAGGGCGACTGTTGCAAGTTGTACTGTGCCCGCATTGAGGATCGTTTGGTACAAGCATACAGCCATTGGCAGCCTATTGTCGCCAGCAAAACATACAAGGTCCCGTGCATGCAGCACGCTGGAAACAGGGAGAGTCAGCATACAAGATTGATGGTTTTCTGTGCTTGAACCAAAGCGCGAAGTGATAAGTTAATATGCCTACATGTTGAGCCTTTGTCCACAATCTCAGCAATGCGACCGAACGTAATGCAGGGGCACCAGCAAGTCAAGCAGCCTGTGTAGTTACAAAAGAAATGAAATCATACATGAAGAATTGGAAACCCATGTATAAGAGGTGCAAGAACAACTGAGAAACAGCTTTGCATACAGGTTCCGCTATCTCCAAAGCAGTCGAAGAGCTTAACTGACCACTCCCCAGACATGCTGTTAGTATTGCTGATTGAGAATCTGTGATATAAGGTAGGAGGATTGACTGAGATCTGTGTCTCAAGGTAATATACAAGCGTTATACCTGTGTAGTTTGAGCAGTTGGTACCTTTGATCCTGCTGCTATTTATATGGCTGTGGCATTGCAGTGCCTTGATGTAGAACATGTCAAATTCAGAGCCAGCAGTTTATGTTATTTTGCTGGTTTTCGCTTTCCTATCACACGGGGTGATGTACGCTTAGTGTTGTGTTTGTATGTGTCTTTGAACTGGTATTTCTGAGAATCCAACGTTCAATTGGCATGTTCTGCTTTGAATCGTTCTATCTGAGAACACTATGCTCGATCAGCATCTGGCAGCATTTGGACCTTCCATGGCTTGTTAGTCTTTGATTTCTTGTCTATCATATATATTGGGTGGATGTGAAAAATGGAAGCTGTTCAGTGTTCACCTTTCCTGACAGCCTGTGTTTTCACATTGGAAAAGTCTGGAACAAAACCTTCACAAAGATGTTGTCTCGTGATATATACCCTTTGATGAAAGGGGCAAAATTGTTCGTCAATCTTCTTTACGTCCAAATTCAAAGTGAGTAGGATGATCACCGCACAAAGCACCTGATGTAATCCCAATTAATAGTAGTATGGAAGATGCACTGACAAAGTTTAGCTTAAAAACCACAAATTGCCCAAGTAAAAGTCAACGTCTAGTAGAATCTGTTATAGTCTCCGTTAGGTAGAATTAACAATACTCCACCATTTTTGGGCTGCAGCTAAACACCCAAACCTTCTTGGGAACCAAACAGGACTAAAGTAAAAGGATTTTTTTTTTTCACTCAGTTTTTTCACATGAATCCACCTGAGGTTTACTCATGACATGACATCTCATCACACAAGCTAGTACTCTCTCTGTTTCACCGTTTCAGATTATAAGTCGTTTTGACTTTGATCAAAATCAAACTATTTTAAATTTAATTAAGTTTGTAGAAAAAAAACTGTAATATTTTTAACCCAAAATAAATATATTAAGAAAATATACTTAATTATTGATCTAATAAAACTAATTTGGTTTTATAAATATTACTATATTTGTCTACAAACTTAGTTAAATTTAAAGTAGTTTGATTTTGATTAAAGTCAAAACGACTTATAATCTAAAACGGACGTAGTAGCAGCTGCTACTCTACTCATAACCAAAAGCAAACCACACACCACACACCACATCACCACTGGTCAAAACCCTGTTTGGAAAACGCAGGAACAGAACAGAGCAAAGGATTCCCGCGGAAAACCACGATATCAACCATTTCAACCTGGGACGTGCAGGGGACACACACACACAGAGCTGATCAGATCATCAGAGAGCCAGTACAGTACAAGAAGCAGAGAGCCTTGACGGCGAGCTTCATGCCGGCGTCGCAGTGGCCCGGCATGCCGCAGATGAAGTAGTTGTTCCCTCGCCGGAGCGTCACCTGGTCGTACCCGGTCCGCAGCACCGCCGTGTCCTTGTTCCTCGGCACCTTGCACCGCCGGTACCCCTTGCCGCCGACCACCGCCACGTCGTGGTACTCCTTGTTGTACTTGAACACTGCATAGCCATGAGTCAGTCATGTACCCTATTTCGTTGAGTTTAAAATTGAGAAATAACTAATTGGTTGTCAGTTTCTAAGAACTTGTAAAGGTTGTGAAACCTAACTTCTAGTTACTAATTCCTTTTCCGAATTCTGTATTGGATAAAAAAGAGATTTGCTTCGGTCCAATAAAAAGTATATCGAGGTACCGATACCTCACGGTATTAAATCGTTTCTGATCGTTGCATCTAGCTGGGTAGGATGGGTATTGTTAGATCCAACGATCGGAAATGATTTGGTTCCGTGAGATATCGGTACCTCGAGATACTTTTTATTGGACCGGAGCAAGTCACGGATAAAAAACTACTCTATATATTTAGGAGAGTTTTTAATTCTGAAAGAAGATGCAACTATCAGAAGCTTCTCGAAACATACGTACAATCACACACCAATGGATCTATGCATGAAGCTTTGACATTAACTTGTGCACTTACCGAGCACGTCGCCGGCGTAGAAGGTCTTGCCGGCGAGCCACCAGTCGAGGTTGCGGCCCCACCCGGCGGCGTCGCCCACGTAGTACGTCTTGCCGCCGGCCTCGGCGGCGGGGACGGCCTCCATCAGCAGCGCCGCCGCCACAAGGCACAGGAGCACCACGCCGCCGCCGCCGCTTGCACTGCCTCTTCCCCGGCGAGCCGCCGCCACCGCCATTTTCTCGCTCGCTCAAATCAAACGAGATTACAAAGGAGATCACCAGTTTAGCTTTTAGCACAGTTTTGCACGGTGTGTGTGTGTCTTCTGACTCGTGTGGTGGCGTATATATAGCCCGCGAAATCGACGCAGTGCAGCACGTGCTGGCACGTCGAGAGCACGCATAGCGGCAGCAGAGATGAAGCTTCTTCCGTGGAAGCAGGACTCTTCGATCCCGGAATACAAGAATATTAATCCTGGGAAACCAAAATTTCAAACAAAAAGAAACACAGAAAATATTTTTAAAAAATAAAAAGAGAAAACATTTCCGTGAATCAAAATAAATTTTGAATTGAAATTGAGCCCAGTGTGAAAGTATGGAAAACTGAAGATCCGTTTGAAACACAGAATTTTACAGGGAACGGCTGAAATGTTGTAAACTGCTCCCTTCGTCTCAGAATAAAGCAACCTACAATCAGATGGGACATATCCTAGTATCGTCCTATAATACCAAAAACGTGAACTTTCGATGCTATATAACCAATTTTGCCAATAATAAATGAGAAATGGATATATTTTTCACAAGGCCCTGGGACTAGGAGGGAATTTGGCCGGCGACAACATCGATCTGCTTGTAATTTAAATCATTTTTCTCGGAGAATTTGACTTCCATAAAAGCGTGAAAAATTGATAGTACTCTCGATCGCCTCGCCACGCCACCGACGATCGAAGGTGCGTGCTCAAGTCAGACCTGATTTAGTCCTGGATCAAGTTAGTCGCTGTCATTAGATTTCTTGTCAGCGTCTACGTGTTTGGCGCCAATACACTCGCGGGGTGTTCAGTTGACCACGGGATGCAGTGATGATATGCCTCGAATCGCGCGCGAAAAATTGCAATTTGTTCCGATCTTGGCGGGAAGTTAGGCCATTCACATTAGCTTCTTCTTAGGCGTGTGATCGAATTAGTACTTCCTCCGTATTTTAATGTACGACGGCGTTGACTTTTTAACCAACGTTTGACCATTTGTCTTATTTAATTTTTTTATGCAAATATAAAAATACTTATATCATGCTTAAAGAACATTTGATGATAAATCAAATCACAATAAAATAAATGATAATTACATAAATTTTTTTAAATAAAACGAAAGGTCAAACGTTTGTTAAAAAATCAACGGCGTCATACATTAAAATACGGAGAGAGTACTAGTTAATCGTCAAGCCGACCCGATCCGTAGTCGACGGTATAGCCAGCGCCCAACCGCTGACAATTGGTAGATACAGATAGATAAACAAGGAGAGATGTGTTGCTCCTGCCTGCCATTTCGTCGCTGCTGGTGACATGTGGGTGGCACGTTTGAGTATATAGCTAGGTTATGTATTTAAAACCACCATGAATTAATATATAGACCTAGCAGTAGCACAATGGGGATTGGATTTAAATAACCAATTCAAAGGTCTTACGATGTAAATATATTTATTCTCCCCACCGCAAGTCGTTTCTATAAATGATTTTTGTGGGGGTATGGATCAATTGTTGTATAAGGGAAGCATTTTGTAAAAAAAAAAAAGAGTGCAAACGTTTCGCTTATATTTATTCGTTCAGCTTATTAGCAAAAAAAAATAATATTCGTGAATAAACTGTTATATTGGTGTCTTTAACGATTTATTAAAAATAAGTGCTATAAAATTAAGTCCCAGAAATTAAATTTTGACATATAAATATAAGATAAGGCTGGAATCTCATTTTCCCACGGTGATTGGAGCAGATACATTCACCATTCGTGCAAGTGCATCATGCCCTCAGATGTGCCAAGTCCTCTTCAATTCTATTATATCATCAGTAGGATAAGTGGCAAAGCCAGGAATTTAAGCCTGTGGGGTCAATTACTAGTGGTTTGTATTTAAGTGAGGTCATGTATCTAAATTCTTTTGGATTCATACATGAAAATTAAGGTTTATAGGATTTTTTTTTTCAAAAAGCTATGGGTCAGCCAACCCCACAGAAGAGGCCTAAATCCGCCACTGAGGCAGATCTAATTGCTAGCAGATTTAACTATTTGCCGTTTAATTTGATGTTTAACTACATGTGTCAATAATTTATGAGCCTTCATATACCTACAATATATAGATTCAGTGGTAAATAGTTATTTGCTACATCCACGACGGGCGAATAGTCTCATATTTAAATATATCCTAATTGCTTGCGATATCGACTGCCTGGATGATAAGATTTGAGGAAAGAGAATAAAAGAGAGATAAAACTGGGACACATACGACCAATGTTGTCAGTATCCCGATCGTAAAATGGTATCTTATGGTAATTTTTTTTTACACGGGATGAAGATGAATTGAGGGGAAAAAAGGAGATGAACTAAAAGTATTGAGAAAATCAGCATATGTCTCTTTTGTTGAGAGGAAGAGTAGGGAAGTAAAGCAGAGTTTGGTTCTAGATTTTCGATGGGCTCAGTTCACCTACTATCCCTCTACTTTACGTTGAGTCTGTCTAACATCCCTTATGTCCAATACTAGAAATCCCCCCCCCCCCACTATACGAAACCGTGTAGAATAGGTTCTATGGCAGTATAAATAAATGGTTCCGTTGACGTGACATCCTAATCAGTAAAGAGGAAATAAAAAAATTATGGGGCCCACATGTCATCCTCACTCCTTCCACTTCTCTCTATCTTCTCTCTCGCATGCCATGAGCAGGGCAAGCGGGGCGGTGTCGCTGTGTCGAGCGAAGCAGCGGCGCACAAAGCTGGCAGGCGGCGGGCGGAGCGCTGTGGCGGGGGTGGAGTGTAGAGGACGGCAGCGAACGCCATAGAGGAGGATGGCGCAGCGGACGGAAACGCAATGGGTGAAGTAGGCTGGAAGAGGACAACGACAACGCGCTTGGGGTTTCACTGGGAGACGATGACAACGACTCCCCCTCCTTCTCTCCCACTCTCCCGCTGGCCTCATTTCCCCCTTCTCCCGCCGGCGCGACAGGTAGCCTCTCCCCCTTCTCTCGCCAGCACGGGCGGTGGGCTCTCCCTTCTCTCACCGGCGCGGCCAGGGCAGTCGGTGTCACGCCCAGAAATTTAGCCCAAATTTCCAGACTATTTTGTGTATTAAATCCCTGTCCAGGACCAGCCAGGGTACACAAAACGACAAGTAATAAACAGTTCCAAACGTAAATAAAGCGTAAAATACTTACAAAAGAGGCACTTAGTCCTCACACCGAAACAAAAGCAGCAGCAGCGGAAAAAAGGCGATCCTAGCGGGGCTTCAGCTCCACTCCACAGGCAAAACTCAACTGGGGTCTGAGCCTTGGTCTTCTAACTTCGTCTTCAGCTCAGAAACACTACACTTCTGAAAAGGGGGAATAATAGCAAGGCTGAGTACAACCACCGTACTCAGCAAGCCACACCAATGATGCAGACGTGCAAAGGGATACAAGGACGGTTTGTGGCTATTTGCATAAAGGCGGTTGTAAAACATTTTATTGAGCAAAACAGTAAAACTGTTGAGTAATTAAAGTAACATTAAATCTCCACTGATCAACGCTACACCACGTTGAACAGGCCCAACCAACCCACCTAAACTACAGTGTATTAGGTCGATTTATTAAGTGTGAGACTAATCACGGTGAATCTGGTCGACCGCCCATAACCGCGGGCACGGCTATTCGAATAGTTTTACTCTGATCAGAGGTGTACAACTGTACCCACAAGACACAGCCCCACGACACGTTTCCGTGCGCCGACATGCCACCACGACATACCGGAAAGAGGCCGTGACAGGACCCTTCGCATAACCCCCTCTAGCCAAGCACACCACACCTCAGGTTTCACCCCCGTCCCCAGCGGGCAACGGGTAGTCCCCTCTCGTGCCTAGGTGAATCCGGAAGCGACAGAGGCCGTCGCAGGGCCCGCCCCGCTCCATCACGCCCACCCTTGCCTGGATGCGTCGACTAGAGGAAAGCTACACTACAAGCCCAGCCGTTGCCCACGCTGGCTTGTGGTAAGTACGATAAGTTCTTCCAGGGCATCCCGCGAACCGGTCCTTAACTGCCATGGGTGCGACCAGCAAAACCATGCACCCACAGCCCACCATTCAGTCGCATTTTAGTTGGATAATTACGACCATGAAGCATGGCCAGGTGTCTCGAGCACGCAGCTCACTCTGATACTAAAAAGGTCTAATACTGCAGTTATCCCATCAACTGAGCTAGTGGTAATTAAGCATGGCTAAGCATATAGTTCTAGCTAGGTCACATAAGTAACATGAGCTAGTCGATTCATTACCCAAGGTTGACAAAGAACAGATATCAAGTAAACATGGCACAAGCGAGCAGATAGGTAAAACCCTGATCCCGTGTAATTAGCAAAACATGCATATTTATTTGCAAACAGTAAAACATTTGTAAATTAGGATCAACATGCTCAAGGGGAATGTGTGACTTGCCTTGCTTCCTCACTTTGATCTTCCGAACTCTTTTCCTCGCGACCGCGGACTTCCGAAACGACGGATTCTACACGCTGGCACGCAAAACGAGGAAAAACTCTAATAAAGACCAAGGAAACAGTACATAAAAACTAAACAAACATGTAGACCTCAATTTTAGATGAATTTTGCAAGTTGAATGGCTCAATTCGGAGTTCGAATGAATTAGATATGAATTTTAGAAGTTTTGAGCCATTTAAATGAATTTCTATAATTATTTACGAATTATTGCGCAATTATTATTTATTTTTACAAAGGAAATGGATCTCGCTGACGTCAGCAAGGGGCGCCGGCGCCGACACGCGGGCCCCACACGTCAGTGAGCAAAGGGGACAGGCGCACGGTGGACACGGTCCACCGCAGCCTCGGGCGCACGTCCACCATTTGGACGGCCCAGATCGGCCCGAGCTGATCGGGCGGCCGAGGGGAGCGGCGGCCAGGGGCACTGGCGCGACACAAAGCCGGCCCGGCCGAGCCAAGGCGCGGCGGCGGCATGCAGCCACCGGCGGCAGCAGCCGGCGACGCGGAACGACGGCGGGCAGCCGGAGGACAGCGGCCCGCACAGGGGACGGCGATGCACCTCAAGAGGCGGCAGCCGGCAAGAAAGGGTGACGGGAAAAAAAAAGGGGAGGGAGGAGAGGTCCTCACCGAAAACGGCGGCCGACGCGGAGGAAGATGACGACGACGACGATTGCCCGATGGCGGCTGGCGAGGACGGAGGGCGAACGAGGTCGCCCTTGACCTGCGGAAGGAGAAGAGGGAGTTAGGTTGGGGAGAACCGATGCGGGGTGACTAGAAATGAAGGCCGATGGCGACGACGAGAGGTGGGGCTCACCGGCGAACTTAGAGGATGAGTTGGAGCGGCGGAAGACGACGACCAAGCAGCGGACGAGGTGAGGGCGAGCACTGCGAACGCGCCAGAGGCAGCAGCACGGCCGGGCGAGGTCCCCCTCACCGGCAAGGAGCGGCTGGAGCGCTGTGGAAGCGGAGGTAGCTCGGCTCCGCGGTGGGAGGGGGTTCCGGTGGTGAATGGGAGGGATGAGGCGGCGGCCAGGCTTGCCCTTGTGGCGTCGAAGCCGGCGGTGGATGCGGCGCAGCACGGCAGCGGCGGGACCGGCGGTAGCGCGCGGCTGGAGGGCACCGACGGTGGTGGAGCTCGGGGTCGACGGTGGAAGCAGTGCTCGGGCTACCAAATAAAGGGGTGGTGCGGCGGCCGAGGCGTGGCACTACGCGGTGCAGCTTTTGGTGGCGGTGGCGCAGCGCGGTTGCGACAGGAACAGCGGTGGCGGGCGGCTGGAGTTCGCCGGGGAGCGGCGGAGAGAGGGAGCACGGTGGGGAGGTGGCTAGGAGGCGCGGGGTGCTCGGGGAGAGGGGAAAACGGATGAGGGGAGGCACGTGAGTCGTTTATATAGGTCCCGGAGGGGGAGAACGTGGCCGGGAGAGGCGGATTTGAAGGGGGAAAAGGCGCCGGCGACGTGGGCGAGTGGCGGAGCAAACCGGCGCCGGTTTTTGGGGGAAATGGGGGAGGAGAGTGGAGGAGGTGGAGGGGATGCGGTTGCTCTCAGTTCGGATGCGAGCGCGTGAACGGGAGGACGCGAAAACGGCGGCATCGTGGGCGGCAATGGCGGCCACGAGCGGCTGCTGGCTGGGATGGAGGGAGGTTGGGGATGACAGGCGGGGCCCATGGGTCCCACACGTCGGCTGGAGAGAGAGGAGGGAAACTGGGGAGGCAAAGCAGACTTCCCTCAAGGCCTGAGCCGGCCTAGAGATGGAGGAGGCGCGCGGCCCGGGAAGGGGGAGGGGATTTTGGGCCAAGCCCGAAGGGAGGAGAGGGAAATTATTTGGTTTTCTTTTTATTTAATTGATTAAATGATCTTCGTGACTTTAAACTATTTCTCGAGCTCCGAAAATTCACGGAAAATTATGGAGAGTACATTAGGGCACAAAGAATATTACAAAATATTCCCGGCCAATAATTTTTAAAGGAAATTTTAATTTCCTCTATTAATTCACTTGAATAAATTGCTTAACTTTTTATTTAATTTCTAGGAAATGCATTATCAAATGATTTTTAATCCCGAACGAAAATCGGGGCGTTACAGTCGGCCTCCTATCCCCCTTCTCCTGCCGGCGCGGCCGGCGGCCTCTCCCATTTCTCCAGTCGATGCGGCCGGCCGCCTCTCCTCCTATTCTCACAGGCGCGGCCAGCGCGGCCGGCCTCCTCTCTCCCTTCTCCCGCCGGCACGGCCGGCGACCTCTCCCCTTTCTCCCGCTGATGCGGCCGGCTGCCTCTCCCGCCGACGCCCCCCTCTCCTGCCAGCTGTCCCGGGCTGGAAGAAAAGAAAGACGATTGGCTGACATGCGGACCCCACATTTTTCTTCTATCACTTACATATGGACCCCCACAATTTTTTTATTCCCTCTTTGCGGATTAGGATGCCACGTTAGTAAAACCATCTATTATACTGCCATAGGACCTATTCTACATGATTTCGTATAGTTTAGGGGGGGAGATTTCTGGTATTGGACATAAGGGATGTTTTACAGACTCGACATAAAGTTGAGGGACGGTAGGTGAACTTATTCCTCGTAGGAATCGTGCAAGCTGGGAATAAGTTCACTTTGTGACCCTCAAAAGTGATTGAAATCTAATCCGTGACCCTAAACCACAAAACCGGATATCTTGACCCCCAAACTATGAAAACCGGTGCAATTTGACTCCCTCAGCGGTTTTGGAGGGCGGTTTCGCTGACGTGGCGGTATTGACCAGGTCTTCTTTACACGTGGCGTTGATGTGGCGCTTAGGTGGCATTTCAATTAAAAAGTTATACGTGGGACTCATTTGTCATTCACACACAATTGTGGGGCCCACTAACATGTGGGCCCCACATGCCATCTTCTCCCTTTCTTCTTCCTTCCCTCTCTTCTCTCTTTCTTTCTCCCTCTCCCCTACGGCCGTCCGCAGGGAGCGAGCGGCGGCGGCGGCGGCCGTGGGCTGGAGCTGAAGCGGCGGCCGCTCGCCGTTCCTCTCGCACCACCACCACCCGCATCACCCAGCGGCCGGCATCGAGACGTCGTCAGCAGCCGGCATCGAGACGTCATCGGCGGCCGAGCGGCGGCGGCGGCAGCCCGCGGGCGGTGGCGGGCGGGAGAAGCAATGGGAGGACGAGGGGAACGGCGGCGGGCGGGAGAAGCAGGCCGCGGCGGCGACTTCGACTTTGACTTGGATACCTCGGAGATGGCGATGACGGCGTGGTCAGCGGCGAAGCGGCCGAAGAGGAACTCGGATACCTCGGCCGCCGCTTCCCCTCGTCCTCCCTCTGCCACGAGCCGCCGCCGCCCTCGCCCGCCCGCCCTCCTGCCACCGCCGGCTCCCCACGTCCTCCCACTGCCACAAGCCGCCGCGCTCACCTGCCCGCCCTCCCGCCACCGCCGCCGGCCCCCGTCCCTTAGCCGCCGCTCGCACCGCCGCCGACTCCCCTCGTCCTCTCACTGCCGGGCCGAGCTCGCCGTACCCCGCCACGTGTGCCTCCCGCCACCGCCGCTGTGGTCTCCTCCGTCTTCGTCGCAGTGGAGCTCAGCCCAGGTGCCGCCGCGCCTCCGCCCCTCGCCACCATCTCCGCCTGCCGCGGGAGAGAGAGAGGGAACGGCGAGGAGAGAGAGGGAACTGAGGGAGGGGAGAGAGAAGGGACACGTGGGTCCCACAATCTATTTTCTGTGTCATTGACAAATGGGTCCCACATATATTTTTTAATCTAAATGCCACCTTAACGCCACGTCAACGCCACGTGTAAAGGAGACCCGGTCAATACCGCCACGTTAGCGAAACCGCCCTCCAAAACCGCTGAGGGAGTCAAATTGCACCGGTTTCCATAGTTTGGGGGGTCAAGATATCCGGTTTTGTGGTTTAGGGTCACAGATTAGATTTCAATCACTTTTGAGGGGCACCAAGTGAACTTATTCCTGCAAGCTGGGATGAGCCGTGGGCCGCGGCCTGTGTCTCCATATGATGGACCATCAAAGAGTTGGTTTCCAAGCGTTCGGCCAGAAGGCTAGAAAGACGTGAACAGAGACAGCCAATGGCCTACTGCCGAGAGGCCCAAAAGTTGCTAAGATTGGTCGTAGTTTTTGTCGGCCCATGTAGGATAGATATGAGGTCCCTTACTTTTTGACGAATCCAATTTTTATCCTTCAACCAAAAAACCAAATACAGCGGTCAAAACCGGTGTAAACTAACTCCGAAGGCGGTTTGGACGGTGGACGGTGGTTTCAGCTGAGGTGGCGCTTTGACTCTATCTTTATCTGACGTGGCACATGAAGCAAAATCTAACAATTTAACAAATAAACAAAATATGTGAGCACGCATGTCAGTCAAATAATAAGATTGAAAAATAGTAGAACCCACGTATCAGTGGACCTACTTCCTCCACCTCATCCCCACTTCTATGTATCTTATCCTCTCCCAAGGGAGTAGGGTGAGCAGAGCGGCGCGGCGCGGTGGCGGAAATCCGCTGCCGACGCCGATCTCCACAGCTTCGGCGCTCCCAACTCCTTCCGCCGTCATCATCACGCCTTCTCCACCGAGCTCCACTACTGTCTTGGTCGCCACTCCTACTTCCCCACCTGCTTTGACGATGACGATGGCAACATGTTCGAGGATGCACACCTCATCTTCTTCTTCCCAGTCTCCTCTGTCTTCGCACCACCGTCCCTCGCCATGTCAGCTGCCGCCGCATCATACAGGCCCCTCTTCTCCCTGCTCCCACAGCATGCCACACTCCCCCTTCTAGCCGCCGGACCCCTCTCAGCGCAGCCTCTGCCACTTCGTCCACTCCACCTCCTTCCTCCCCTTCATCTATTTCGACTCCCTCGAGGACAATGCTCTCCACTCTGTCCCCATCCTTCTCAGCACTCTCCAACTTGCTCGTCGTCCTCGAGCCCCGTCTCCGCCGTCCTACGCGCCACCCCCCGACCTCGACGGCATCCTCGCCATGGGCAGCGGCTCGCCGCGCTGTCCCCTCGCCATGGGTGGAGAAAATAGGACCACCAACATGTGGGTACCATTATTTTTCTTTATCTTAGTTTGACTGACCATATTTTGTGTCAATTATTTAGTTTTCAATTTTGTTTTTTTCCAAATAAAACTGTCACGAAAAAGCCACGTGTAACAAAGATCAAGTTAAATTAGTCACGTATGTACCGCGTAAGCCAAAACTAGAGATAATAGTACCGAAGAACTTCGTTTGCACTGGTTTTATAAGTTAAGGGGGTGGTTGTATCTGGTTTTCGGTTTAGGGCGTAAATCGGATTTGGTATCAAGTTAAGAGATATCAAATGAACTTATTCCAACTTAGTTTCGGTCAGCCCATATGCACAAAACTCATGGAATCAGCCGTACCTTAATTGAAGGAAAGAAAAAGAAGAAAGAAAAGATACTGATTTTCTTTTTAGAAAATGAATTAAAATCCGGCTACATCGATGTACACAGCACAGAAAAGATACTGATCGGTAAGCAGACAGCCATTCGATCTCTTGAGATGAGCTCAACACGCGGGGGGTGCACGCAACAAGATCACAACAAAGCTTGCGAATGAAATTATACTACTCCAGTACTTAAGTATACTAAGCATTGTCTCAAATTTCAATGCTGGGTGAGCAGAGCACCAAATGATTCCGGCAAAGCACACTCCAGTAGTAGCAAATCAATCAATCACTACAGGGAGAGGGGATCCAAGTTTTTGACCAGCTTTGACGAATCCTCACTCTCCTCTCTCGCACACATTCCCCCAACCAACAACCTTACTAGAACAGGATAAACTAATACTTATAAGCCCAGATCTAGCAATAAAACCCACCACCAATTAACTAATCAACCGGATCCATGAGCTAAACCAGTGTCAGTGAGGCAGTGACACACCAATGTAGTAGAACTAGTAGGAGGTATTAATCATACGGTAAAAAAACAAAAAAAAAAGAAGAAAGAAAAAAAGGCATGCATCTTAGGGGCACTTGGGGCCGCCTTCCTTGGTCTTCCAGTTGTTGTAGCAGGGGCAGGCGCCCTTGTTGCCGTAGGTGCCGGGCGGCACGCACAGGCACTTGGCGCAGCACTTGTTGCAGAACGTCAGGCACGCCTTCTTGTACTGCGTGTTGGAGCACCTCCCCGCGCACTTGGGCGAGCACTCCCACGGCCTCAGGTTCCCGCCGCCGGCCACCCCTCCGCCGCCGCCGCCGCCGCGCCCGCGCCCTCCTGCCATCACCTCCTGCACGCGAGAAACAAGAACGAACAAGAACGTCAAGATTAACCCAAGATTCAAGATATATAGTAATCAGGTTGAAGGAGAGGTTAGAGAGATTGTGAGGTTACCGATGGGAAGGCGATGGAAAGGAGGAGGAGGACGGCGAGGAGGAGGAAGGGGATCTTGGTGGAGGACGCCATTGGTGGGTGCGGTGGTGTTTGGGTGGGTTAGGGACTTAGGGTGGTGTTTATATAGAGGAGGAGGAGGAGGGGAGGACGGCGAGATTGGTGTGGAGCCGTGGAGGAGTAAAGATTTGTGCGTGCAGGTGCGGTGTTTGGTGATGGGGTTGGGGTTGGGGCATGTGACGCGCCACAGTGGACGCGTGAACCGGTCGATGGGCGCAGGCGCGCAGCTGGGCCGTAGCACTGGCATAGTGGGCATTGGAAACGCACCGCTCTCGCTCTGTCCATTATTGCGTCGTGCTGGTGTTGGTGGTGGCGGGAACAGATGAAAAACATCAAAAAACCACTCTGCATTAATAGTTCCAGTACAGGTAGTAGTAGAGGTTTTCACCGGCCGTGGTGGACCAGTACGATACTCCTTTTGGGTAGCTTTGGGCGGGCAATTCGAGTTTCGAGGTAACGACTAAGAGCAAGTTCAATAGTATAGCTAACTGCTAGCTCCAATTCATCTATAGCTAATCTAATAGTTCATTTATACAATAGTTACATACTACACTATTAATACCTGGTCCCACCTGTCATACACACACCGTGTCTTGGAGTCCGTGCTACAGCTAGCTATAAATCTGTAGCTCGCTGTCCTTCTCTCTCCTCATTTATCTCCTTAAAATATGTTTGCAGCTGGCTTATAGCCTGCTATTGTACCTACTCTAAGAGCCAGTTTAATAGCATAGCCCATTGCTAGCTCCAATTCATTTATAGTCAATTCATATAATAGTTGTTTACTATACTATTAATATCTGATCCCACCTACCATAACACAGTCTTGGAGTCCGTGCTACAGCTGGCTACAAATCTGTAGCCCGCTGCTCTTCTCTCTCTTCCTTTATCTTTTTAAAATATGTTTACAGCTGGCTTATAGCCTGCTATTGTACCTGCTCTAATACCGGGAATCAAACGAACCCGAGGAGATGTAAGAGCAAGTTTAATATTATAGCCTACTACTAACTACAATTTATCTATAGTCAATTTAATAGATAAATCATACAATAGTTGTTTATTATTTTATTAATATATGATCCCATCTGTCATATACACATTGCGTTTTAGAGTCCGTGCTACAGCTGATTACAGGTCTGTAGCCCACTACTCTTCTCTCATATTTTATCTCATTAAAATATGTTTATAGCTGGCTAATAGTCTGCTATTGTAACTGTTCTTAACAAAAAAATAACACGACGAGGTGGTGAGATGCTACTCCAAGTCTAGATTAAATCGGTGAGTGGGTCATATACTATAAGTAATAGTACTCCGTAGTTTACGTCCACTAGATCGGCGGCACATGCTGATGCCCTTTTTCCAGTGCACCTCCACTAGCTACTAGTTCTGGTACTCCATTCTACTCCTGGAGAGGGCACCGCACATGCGCGGTTCGTATCCACAGCTTGCGGGCACCGCACATGGATGATGGATCGTTCCAGGTTTGTATTCACCACAGCTCTTGCGGCACATGGACTCCCCCATCTCTCTACCCTACAGATTGTCGTGCACTCGTGCAGCAGTTCAATTCGCCATGTAGTAGTAGTAGTAAAAAGTAAAAACTTGTATATATACTCAGGTACTTGTACTATAGTAGTAAAAAGGCGTCCCTCGTCGTCGCAGAGCTGTTCAAAATTTCGGTTGCACGGGGCACGAGGGCAGCCGGCAAAATCTCCCTGTTTTGCTGGGGGCTTTTCGCACGCCAAAAGTCCAAACGCTCTCTCGACAGGGTTTCATTTACCGCGGTAAACCGCGCGGTTACCGCGGTTACCGCGCTTACCGCGGGGGTACGGTAAGGGGTAAACCGCGGTAACCGCGTCAAATTCAAATAAATTTGAAAAATAATTTGAATTTTTGATAAATTTTGTACGGTTTGTCGCGGTTACCGCGGTTACCGTGCGGTAACCGTGCTTACCGCCGGGGCGCGGTAACCGCGGCCCCGGCGGTAAATGAAACCCTGCTCTCGATCTTTCCGTTTGCAATGCATGCCACGCGAGCGCGAGCCTAGATCCGCGGCGCGACCGGCGGTGTGTGTGCTGCTGCTACGCCGCCGTCACCGGCTTTCCGGCATCCACGTGGTGGGGGGCTGCGTACGACGGTACGACGACGAACATGCAGTGTTTCGGGGCCCAGACGGCGGTGGTCGGCAGGCAATGGCTTTGCTTTTGGCTGGCCTGCGACTGCGGGAGGGAGAGGAGGGTAACATGGGGAGCGGCAGGTGGGCTTGGGGAAAGTATTTACAGCTCGGCGTATGGGACGACGATTACTGGTGGCCGGTGGCTGCTGCTGTTTACTGCTACTACAACTGCAACCCTTCGTTGCCTTGTCGATTTGTCATCCGCGCGAGAGCGCTCCGGGACAAATCGATGGTGTCCTCACTGCCGACTCTCTCTCAAGAAGTCTTGGGCCGTGTTTGGTAGGGCTATAAACTTCAACTCCTAGCTCTAAATTGCTATTTCAGTTGGAGCTAGCTCCTATTAGAGTTGGAGACCCATCCAAAAGTGTTTGACAAGCTTTTAGCTCCCGATCTAAAAAATATTGAAAAAAAGGAATCCCTGCTGCCGGCCGTGCGCCGCCCAAGCATCGTCTCCACGCACGCCGGCCTCGCGCTACTTCCCCTGCACCACCCATCCGCCCTTGTCAGCGTGCCGCCCGTCACAGGCTGTGCGCCGCTCACACGTCGTCCTCGCTTGCGCCGACCGCCCCCGCCGGAGCACCGCTGCCCGCGCACCCCACCCGTGCGCCGTCGCTGCTCGCATCGCCCGCCGTCACCGCAGGAGCGTCACCATCGGCCCGCTGCCTTTGCCCACATGTGGGAGTTAAGTTTTGGGGGGGGGGGGGGGGGAGGGGAGGAGGTGAGCTTGGGATAATTCAGTGACATTTTTATGTGAATGTGTTAAAAATTAAAGGGTAGTGGATCTTTTGGGTTGGAGTGGAGCTGTGGAGCAGAAAAAACCCAGCTCTACACCTGTAGTTTATTTTTTAGGAGTAGCTCTACTAACTTCACTCCAAAAACAGAAAATATGGATCGTTTGGTACAGCTCCGACTCTAGATAAGTTGGAGTTGAAAGTTAGAGCCGTGCCAACGGACCCTCGTACTCCAGCTGAGTTCGCAATGTTGCAATGCACGGGCGACGATCGTCGTCCGTGGAGTGTAGATTCCTATCATTTTGGTGACCTTTGCAGAGGGCGTTGTTGATCGATGATGCGCATTTCGGCCATTGCAGATCAGGTGAATCACGATTAGCGCCCTATTGTTTAGGTTCCCGGTCAATATGGTCTTACTACTGTATATGCGTCTGATTAATTTCGAATTATGTTTATTTATTTCTTCTCCAGCATGTGTAGTGCTCCCTCCGTCCTATAATATAGCAATCTAGTATAAGACGAGATACTTCATAGTATAGCGAATCTGGACATGCTTCATGTCATGTCTAAATTCGTTGTACTATAAAGTGACCCATCCGGTTCTAGGTTGCTATATTATGGGATGGACGAAGTAGTAGAGTATGGGTGTGTTCGGCACTGCTGGTTCCTAATCTTTTCCATCTCGTTTTCCGCGCGCACGCTTTTCAAACTAATAAACGGTGTTTTTTTTAAAAAAGTTTCTATATGAAAGTTGCTTAAAAAATCATATTGATCCTTTTTTAAAAAAAATTAGCTAACACTTTATTAATCACACGCTAATGGACCGCTCCGTTTTTCGCACGCACTGTTCCCGGCTGGGAACCTCCAGTAGCGAATACACCCATATGTGTGGTAGAGATCTGGATCCTCTGCCTTAGGAAAAAAGCAGAGGTGCACGATAAAATGAGTCTACTACTATGGTAGAAAACAGTGATTTGCAGTTTTCACTGTAGCAACAGTACAAAACAGTGAAAAATACTGTGCGCAATTACTATAGTGATCGATCTCGTCCATTTCGTGTGAACCAGACAACTGAAAATACCCCAAAGTCACGGTACTGTTTTACCTCTGACTTTAACCCCGGGACCTTAATCCGTGTGGTAGTAGATAATATGCTATGCACATCTCCCGTGAGGCAAAGCGTAACCTTGTGGATTGTCCTCCCCGTGCGTAAAAAAAAACTAAAATGTATTCGATAGAAAATTAAGTTTAAAATCTTGTATTTTTCTTACCTAATGATTTGCTTTGAGTTCCGTGCTCTGATGACCCAAGCTCTTATTCTACAGTTGACCCCTTCTCCTTTAGTTCTGGTGACCCCCTACAAACAGTAATGGAGCTAGTGTTTAGGGTCCTCGATTATGGCTAGGGGTAAGGCCGTAAGGGTGGGGGAGGGGGAAGAGAGGGAAGATCGCTGGATTTAGAAGGATGGTCATGGGAGGCGGCGGCTCGGTGTTGGGTCGTGGACATGAGCAGGCGGTGAGGCGCTCATGGCGACGTCGAAGCCATGAGAATAGAGGAGGATGATGAGCCATCGTTAATGACGGGAGCAAAGCAAACTTGTGGTGAGGGGCGGATCAACTGTGTTAGGTGTGGTGTCACCTGACACCAATAGATTCTTGTTTAATCTAAGAGCAGGTTTAATAGTATAGCCCCACTATTGGCTCCAATTCATTTATAGACAATCTAATAGCCAATTCATACAATAGTTGCTAACTATACTTGTTGGCGGATGGCATGAGGCCCTTCGACCAAATTTGCCGAAACCCGTGGCGAAGGCTATGAACCAAGGATGAGGCGAGGCGAAGGGTCGCGTGAGTACCTGACGAAGAAGGATGACTTCGCCATAGCCAGTTCGCCCTGGCATCCAGCGAAGAAGGACGGCTTCGCCATGTCCAGTTCGCCCCCGCAAGGGCCGAAGAAGCCTTTTTGGCCCATCAAGCTTAGGGGCTATAGGGCCGGCGGTCGCCTGACGGCCCATCAAGGACCCATAAGTCCCCTTGACATTATGTAACCCTGTAAACGTCTCTTTCATAAGGGCAACCATGTAAATTCCCCCGTATAACCTAAACCCTATTAGTAAGAACATGTAATGGGGCTATAAATAGTCCCCTAGGGCCATGTAATGGGGGGATCCCAAGTAAAATTAAAAATTTAATACA